CAATATTTGTGTGTGTGTATTTGTGTGTACTTGTATGCACCCGGTACACAACATGCATATATTTAGTGATTTACTGTATGTATTGGGGCTGATGGTCATTGTTGCCGCCCAGGAGTAGTGGGAGTTTGATTGCAGGACTTGTTTTTTATTTAAATTTGTATTCACTTTTGTATCACACAGCTATGTTGCAATGCTGCCGCCCATCCCATGTGTTCCCTATTAATGGTTAATAAGTATATAGGGGTGTATATAAAAAATACTCCTCTCTGTCTCATTAGATATCTTTGCCAGAAGCTCATGGAAGCAAGTTGAAGGGTCAGAGTAGGACCTGTCTAGGGGGGTCTGCCTTGACGTTGGCAGGCGGGCATTCCCTCCAATGGCCATTGGAGCAACTAAATGACCTCCATTTGTTTAAATATACATAGGGATTAAGGAGAGAGCGCAGGTAACTTTTTTCTTTGGTTTTTACTATGCATACATGTGTGTAGGAGGCCAAAGGTATGGGGGTTAGAGCCACCAACGCCGGGGGGAGAGGGACAGTAAGATATCCACCAATAATGGTGGTGTTGCTTTAAAAATCACATGTTGATGATTTAAGGAAGATGAAAATAACAAAATATATTTTAAAGGTGTCCGTTATCTTCTTTACATGCTTTTCCAATTTAGAAGAAGCAACCATTTCAGTGTTAATAACACTATTATTAAATAATTGATATTTTTTTTGTAAGAAAAGGCATATTTATATATATTAGAAGGTGGAGTCAGGTAGCTTGACAAAGACCCGGTCGGGTTGAAACGTTGCTGTGTGTTAAAGCTGCTGTTTTGCTATCTACTTGAGTGCCTGTACCATCAATTTAATTTACATATTCAAAGTGGGTTCTCGCCTGCCCTGGGTCCTGTGCACCATGATAGCCTGGTGGGTACAGTCTCCTTCAATTCACTATCCAAATGGTAGTGTAATATTTTGCTTATTGAAAATGGCTCGGTTTAATGTCCGCTTCCTAAGATGGTTATGAAAGGTTGTCCTCCAAGATTTTCTTTGGTTGCTATGCGGATGCTTACAAAATATGCAAATCAGCACCTCACATTTCTGTATGTTCCCTCGAGAGGGACCTTCCAGGGGAAAGTGGTAACAAGACGTAGCTGCATTAAAATCTTTTCCTCGTTTTGAGGCTCATCGGCACAGTGTTGCTTTTTTGTTTGACAATCTTGTAGCGGGACCACCGCGAAACTGTGAATTGACCAGATTGTTCTGTGATGTGTGTTACTGTCTTAACATCCCTTTTCTGTATTTTCCCTATCTTGGTCATGTATTTCCCTTGATGTGTTTGTCTGAACTGCATGTTTCCTGTTCGGGAGTGCCACCACAAACAGAATCCATTCACCTCCCGAACAGGGACCACCCCAAAACCCCAATTAGAATGTTGTCTTAAAACGTTCGCACCTCGTAATGAGGTGTCAAAACCACAAACTGTAAGGGAAGCCTCGGCGCGCGCCTACCTTGGGTGGCGGCCCATTCGTTAGACGAACGCTGTCCAGGGGGAGCATTCATGGATTGCTTCCCACCTCGGTTCCCGAATGAGGACCTCCCCAGTGCCCCTTGGAATGTTTACTTCCCTTGCGGTTTTACACTTATGTTGCAAGTTGCCAACTAGAGGCTTTGGGGGAAGGCTTAACCCATTAATAAACATAGCAATTTCTCTGAAACTGCTATGTTTATTAAAAAATGGGTTAACCCTAGCTGGACCTGGCACCCAGACCACTTCATTAAGCTGAAGTGGTCTGGGTGCCTAGAGTGGTCCTTTAAGGCAGGTCATCGTAAAATAGCATACACAAGACCTACACGCACCATCTCAAAGTATCCCTGAATGAACTGCGTGCAAGCCAATCACCCATCCCATCCAGGACACCAGGCATTAGGCCTGTCCTTTCAGAACATATACATGAATGTCACTGACTATGGTCTAATAGACAGGGCTGTCCTGAATTTAAATGCTTGCAAACTAAGAAAGAACACTCTAAACAGATATAGGACACTTAGAAAAGAATAGCAAATGAGCAATGCTTTAGTATTACACAGCTGTGCTACAGTGCAGTAGCCCACCCCATGTGTTCCATACTAAGGGTTAATATGCATATTGGGGTTTATTAACAATTTTACCTTTTAGCTGAGGTGAATTGTTAGTGTAAGATTCATCTAATAGGTTTGACTTGATATTGGCAGGTGAATTTATACTTTAAAGGGACACTATAGTCACCAAACAACTTTAGCTTAATGAAGCAGTTTTGGTGTATAGATCAGTGGTCCTCAACCCAGTCCTCATGGACCACCAACAGTCCAGGATTTATGTGTTTCCCTGTTTTATTCCAATGGAGATACTGACAAAACCTGGATTATTGGTGGTACATGAGGACTGGGTTGGAGAACACTGGATCATGCCCCTGCAGTCTCACTGTTGCATTCTCTGCCATTTAGGAGTTATGTCACTTTGTTTATACAGCCCTAGTCACACCTCCCTGCATGTGACTTGCACAGCCTTCCTAAACACTTCCTGTAAAGAGTCATCTAATGTTTACACTTCCTTTATTGTAAATTCTGTTGAATTCATAATTTCGTATATCCTGCTCTGCTAATAGCTTTCTAGATCCTGAAGGAGCCTGTTTGTAATTAAAGATCAATTTACAGAGCAGGAGATAAAAATGTTTAAAGTAAGTAACAGCTTATTAAAAATGAAACCATTTTGTTTTCATGCTGGCTGTGTCAGTCGCAGCCAGGGGAGGTGTGGCTTGGGCAGCATAAACACAAACAAACATGGTTTAATTTTTAAATGGCACAGAATTGAGTAAAGAAACTTCAGGGGCGTGATCTATACACCAAAACTACTTAATTAAGCTAAAGTTGTTTTGGTGACTGTAGTGTTCCTTTAATGACCTCCTGTTATCTAAACATGCACAGGGATTTGAAATAGTGCTAATGTAATTTTTGTTTTATGTATTGGGGCTGATGAATACTAAAATCATTGCAGCTACCCGGGAGTAGTGGGAGTTTGAGTGCAGGGTTTATTTCTGCCTATTACACCATGTTTTGATGGTTTCTCATTTAGCACTTTACATTTTACAATATATTGTGTACTGTGAGCAAGACTTTTATCTTAAGGATTCATACATATTGTGAGTTGCATTTTAATGTTATAATGCTCAGTGTTAAATATGATAAATTACATTATAATTAGTATTAAAGTATACTATAATGTATTGTAAACTGTAGAGTATAATATGATAAAGGACACTATAATGTTTAATAAACTGTAGAGTTTAATATTATAACGTACACTGTAATGCATTATAAAGTGTAGAGCTTTATAATGTAACTGTAATGTATTAGAAACTGTAGTTTAATATAACATACACTATAATATATTATGAACTGCAGAGTTTAAAATATTCTAAACTATTTTTTAATATAACATACACTGTAATGTATTATAAACTGTAGGGTTTAATATTATAATTTACACTGTAATGTATTATAAACTGTAGTTTAATATAACGTACACTATAATGTATTATAAACTGTAGTGTAATATAACGTACACTAATGTATTACAAACTGTAGGGTTTAATATTATAATTTACACTGTAATGTATTATAAACTGTAGTGTAGTATAACATAAGCTGTAATGTACACACAAAAACAAGTAAAAAGTAGGCGCTAGTAATAAAATAGTCTTAAAATATAGCTATCCAAAATATATATTATGAAGTTGCACCAAAAACAAGTGTAAAACTCCTCCAAACACTCATATATATATATATACTTAAAATTAAAAGGTGCGCTGTGTCTTTAAGACCCAATTATAAAAAGTGCCACAAGTGCAAACACTGTAATAAAGCGCACATAAAGTGTATAGTGTTAATAAAAAAATATTATACATACATATGTCCTCTCAAATAGAAATGTACATAAGAGAGAGACACAGAAAAAAAATAATAGTGTAAATCTGTTTTGAGAAAATAAATATAAAACATAAATGCCAAATATTGCACTCACAAAGGTAGAGCAGATAAAGCCTGCTCTAACTATAACAGCTTCTTCAAATATAGGACTGCACAGACGAAATAATCCAAAAGATATATTTATTGCCCAGCACCTTCCTCCACATTCAGTACAGGGTTACAGAGTGTTCCGCTATATGCAGCTTAGGGTGTCGACTATTCCCTCTGTTTGTTTGCCGCCGTTATTGCCGTTTCCACTGCTGCTTCCTCAAACTTCCGGGGGGAGGGGACTTCCAAGAGTGCGTGACGTATGGTGCGTAACTTGCGTGATGACGCGTTTCGCCGTGTTCACGGCTTCATCAGATCTGCCCATCCATGTCCTTTTCGTTCTTATATACACACCCTTATGGGTGTGTTCAAGTAGCTGTCGTGCAAAGTCTTTTATCTAATCGCTGGTATCAATCCAAATCTATTAAGTTTATAAATCACCTAAAATACTACTTTATTCAAAATCATCTTAATTAAAAAATATTACACAATATTAGAACATATATACATAAATCAATATATTAAGACACCTCGTTTCCCAAAGAAACTTATTTAAAGAGACATATTTAAAGAGACCTACTTAAAAAAACATATTTAAGGATACATTTTTGTGACGGCATGTTTAAAAACATATTAAAAAAACCTATGTGGGTAGCATATTAAAAACAACAATTTAACAACACCTTCTGACATAAAATAGAAGAAAAAGAAAGATAATACCATTAATAAAAAACAATAAATATAAAAAACAATAATTCATTTAAAGCAATATTATTGAAAAACCCTTATATAAAAAATTATTTTATACTTAATAAGATAGTAAAACATACATCCATATTAACCCTAAAAAAGTAAATAAATCAAATTCTATATTGAGCCCCCTAGGTTCTAACGTTTTTAACCTGTGGACCCATTGCATTTCTTTTTTGTCTATATCGATAGTATGATTTCCTCCTCTCCATGACTTCTTCGCTATCTCAATTCCCTAGAATGCAAGGCCCCTAGGGTCTTTGTTATGGTTAAAATGTGCCGAAACACTATGATTGTCATAGCCTTTAACAATATTATTTACATGCTCATATATTCTTTTATGTAGTGGGCGAATTGTCCGCTCGACATACTGTAATCCGCATGGGCATATTAATAAATTAAATTTTTACTAAAACACGTAATAAAATCTTTAATAAAAAACTCAGCATCTTTCGTGTTATTTTAAAATTTACTAACCCCCTTCAGAGTAGCATTCTTGCTGCATCTGCACATTTGTTACAAGAATAAAACCCTTTTTTATTATCTAAAAAAGTTTTGGGAATTTCCTTTTTAGGATGATTAAAAGTTAGAATACATTTAAACTTTGGTGTTCCTCTAAATGTAATAAAAGGCTTCTCTGGAATAATTTTATTAAGTTCATTATCTTTCTTTAAGACATGCCAATGTTTATTCACTATTGATTTTATTTTATTACACTCTTGATTAAAATCGAAAATCAGGGGCAATATTATTTCTCTTTCTTTATTTAAATTCCCTGCATTCTTATGGTTACTTAATAACCGATTGGGTTCTAAATTTATTATTTCATTATATGCTTTTTCTAAAATTTGTTGTGGATGCTTTTTTTGCTTGAATCTATCTTTATTGTCTTGGCTTGTTCTTCAAATTTATCCTTATCAGTACAATTCCTTCTAATTCTTTGTAGTTGGCCCTTAGGAATATTGTTAAGCCAAGGAGTATAGTGGCCACTATTACACAGAACATAATTATTGGCGTCCACCTTTTTAAAATTTTTTTTTATTTTTTTTTAATCTCATCCCTTTCTATATATATTTCTAAATCTAAATAATTAATGTTTAACTTGTAGTTAAAAACACTAGTTAAAACAATACCCCAATTATTACTATTCAATTTTTCTAAAAATGTAATAAGATCTTCTTCACATTGATCCCATATAAAAATTAAATCGTCGATATATCTGTGATATGAGACCCAGGTTTGTCCCCCATTGACTTATAAACTTAATAGATTTGGATTGATACCAGCGATTAGATAAAAGACTTTGCACGACAGCTACTTGAACACACCCATAAGGGTGTGTATATAAGAACGAAAAGGACATGGATGGGCAGATCTGATGAAGCCATGAACACGGCGAAACGCGTCATCACGCAAGTTACGCACCATATGTCACGCACTCTTGGAAGTCCCCTCCCCCCGGAAGTTCGAGGAAGCAGCAGTGGAAACGGCAATAACGGCGGCGAACAAACAGAGGGAATAGTCGTCACCCTAAGCTGCATATAGCCGAACACTCTGTAACCCTGTACTGAATGTGGAGGAAGGTGCTGGGCAATAAATATATCTTTTGGAATATTTCGTCGGTGCAGTCCTATATTTGAAGAAGCTGTTATAGTTAGAGCAGGCTTTATCTGCTCTACCTTTGTGAGTGCAATATTTGGCATTTATATTTTATATTTATTTTCTCAAAACAGATTTACACTATTTGTTTTTTTCTGTGTCTCTCTTTCTCTTATGTACATTTCTATTAGAGAGGACATATGTATGTATAATATTTTTTTATTACCACTATACACTTTATGTGCACTTTGTATCACTTTGCACTTTATTACAGTGTTTGCACTTGTGGCACTTTTTATAATTGGGTCTTAAAGACACAGCGCACCTTTTAATTTTAAGTATAAGCTGTAATGTATTATAAACTGTAGTGCAATATAACGTACACTGTAATGTATTATAAACTGTAGTTTAATATAACGTACACTATAATGTATTATAAACTGTAGTGCAATATAACGTACACTAATGTATTATAAACTGTAGGGTTTAATATTATAATTTACACTGTAATGTATTATAAACTGTAGTGTAATATAACATAAGCTGTAATGTATTATAAACTGTAGTGCAATATAACGTACACTGTAATGTATTATAAACTGTAATGTAATTGTCGGGATCCCGCGGGCGGTCTTCGAGGGGGAGGTAATGTCGGGATCCCACGGGCTGCTGTGAGGGGAGGCTGCACTCTGCTCGCGGTACTCACCCTCCAGCTGTCCGCGGTCCCCTCCTCCTCCTGGGTTCGGCGAGCGGCATCCTTCCAGCCTCGGATGCTGCCCGCCGTTTCCTCCGCGTCCCCCAGCGGCAGCATACATGACGCTGCACGCTGGGAGACCGCCCAAGTTTGTACACGCCGGGGTCAGTCACCTGACCCGGCGTTAAAGGCACAGTGCCTCAATCACAGTGGGAGGTCTAGATATCTCCCACGTGTGATTGTTAATTCTGATTGGAAATTATCCAATCAGAATTAACCTTATGGTTTAAATACTTACCTTTCCTGTTCCTCCCTGCCCTGTTGTGGTCTTTGCTTTCTAGTATTGCTACTTACCTTGTGTTTCTGGTTACGTACTCTCTGGCTTGTTTATCTGACTCTGTGACTTTCTCCTACCCTTTGACCTCGGCTCGTTTCACGTTATTCTGTCTTCTGGTTCCCCTTACTCGGCTTGTTTCCTGACTATTCTGTGTGTGCTTAGCCCAGCCACTCTAAGGTCCGGTACAGCACCTTTTGTGTGTGTGTGTGTGTGTGCCAGCGTGTTGGGTTCCCCGAATCGTGACATTACAACAGGGCCATAATGGAACCTGCTGACATACCACAGCTCCTAGTTAATCAAGAGGCTAGAATGGATGGCTTGGACCACCGTATGGATCAGTTTGCTCAAGCTTTGCAAACCATACTGGCTTGTACTGCACACTTGCAACCTGCCGTTCAGGAGGCTGCTGCTGCTGTGCCCGAACCCATTCCCACTCCAGTACCTGTTCCCGCTCATGTAGTTCACGTGACGCCGCCACAGCGCTACAGTGGTGACCCAGCATTGTGTCGTGGTTTCCTCAACCAAATCGACATCCGTTTCTATCCCACTGACAGATCTAAAATTGCCTTTTTGATAAACCACTTGTCCAGGAGAGCTTTAGCATGGGCCAACCCCATTTGGGAAAATACGCCTCCTATGTCCTTTGCAGATTTTCTGACAGCTTTCAGAAGCACGTTTGATCAACCGGTAGGGTTGCTTCTGCTGGCAAGGCTCTGCTTAGGGTCCGACAGGGTAACAGATCTGTAGCAGATTACACCATCGAATTTCGTACTCTAGCAGCTGAAGTGGTTTGGAATAATGACGCCCTCGTAACAGCCTTTCAGGAGGGTCTGGCCGCTTATATACTGGATGAAATAGCATCCAGGGAATTGCCTGCTCTTCTAGATGATGTTATAGACTATGTGATTCTTATCGATAACCGTATTAGAGAGAGGCGTAGCCAAAGACGGTTGGATACACGGGTGTTACCTGCTCTACCCAGTACTTCACTGCTAGCCTTACCCGCTCCTAGGCAACCATCCCCTGAACCCATGCAGTTGGGTGCTACGGGGTTAACCGAGGCCGAAAGAGCGTACCGTAGAAGGGAGGGGTTATGCCTTTATTGTGGGAAGAGGGGGCTTATAACCTTGTCCGTATAAAGGAGAATGACGAGTGGAAGACAGCGTTCAACACACGCAGTGGGCATTACGAATATCTGGTCATGCCTTTTGGACTGTGTAATGCTCCTGCCGTGTTTCAGGACCTCATAAATGATGTCCTTAGGGGTCTATTGCATGTCTGTGCTGTGGTGTACCTTGACGACATACTTGTGTATTCTCCTGATTTGAAGTCACACCATAACCATGTTAGGATGGTGCTCAAAAGGCTATTGCAGAGCGGACTCTACTGTAAGTTAGAAAAATGTTTATTCGATCAGACCTCTGTGCAATTCCTAGGATATATCATTACTGAACAGGGTTTCAGTATGGATCCTGCTAAATTGGAAGCTATACTGTCCTGGCCACTTCCCCAAGGACTGAAGGCTATCCAGCGTTTTATAGGATTTGCCAACTATTATAGGAAATTTATAAAAAACTTTTCACCACTCATCTCTCCTATAACGAAGCTGACAAAAAAAGGTCTACACCCTAGCGTTTGGACTCCTGAAGCCATTAAGGCCTTCGAAACCCTCAAGAAGGCATTTGCCTCTGCTCCAGTGCTGCACCACCCTAATCCTTCTCTTCCCTTTGTTATGGAAGTAGACGCTTCAGAGTCAGGTGTGGGAGCCGTACTGTCACAGAGGTTGTCGTATGACAAACCCCTCCATCCCTGTTGTTATTTTTCTAAAAGGTTGTCTGATTCAGAGAAGAATTACGAAGTTGGGAACAGGGAACTATTAGCTATTGTGTTAGCTTTTAAGGAATGGAGGTACTTATTAGAGGGTTCTAGACACAAAATTATGGTTATAACAGATCATAAGAACCTATCCTATATAGCTGATGCTAGAAGGTTATCTGCCCGGCAGGCTAGATGGTCTCTATTTCTCTCACGCTTCCAATATGTTATTACCTATAGACCTGGTTGCCGTAATGCCAAAGCTGACGCTATTTCTCGACAGCATGAACCAGTAGAATTTGTTAACCCGACTCCTGAACCTATTGTACCTGCGTCTCAGATAATAGCTGCTACCCGTTTGGTTGTTTCTTCACCTTTCTTTGATAGCATTAAGACATACCAAACCCAGGCACCCCCTGAGACGCCGGTTGGTAAACTATACGTTGAAACAAATGACAGAAAAAAGTTGTTAACTTTATTTCACACAGCCAAAACTGCTGGTCATCCGGGGGTTACCAAAACCTACAAGGGCCTCCTTCAACAGTTCTGGTGGCCTTCACTCAAGCGAGACGTAGTGGATTTTGTTCAGGCTTGTCGGGTCTGCACGCAGTGTAAGTCCCCTAATGTGAGACCACAGGGTTCACTGATGCCTCTATCTATACCCGAGAAACCATGGACCCACTTATCCATGGATTTCATTGTAGACCTGCCTCTTTCTGATGGTCAGACGGTGATACTGACTGTGACGTATAGGTTCTCTAAAATGGCGCACTTTATTCCGCTTAAGAAACTGCCTTCTGCGATTCAGTTAGCTCAGGTGTTTGCCAAAGAAGTGTTCCGATTGCATGGGGTACCTCAGGATATCGTATCTGACAGGGGCCCTCAATTTGTCTCTCGGTTCTGGAGGGGCTTTTGTGCTGAGATGCGGGTCTCCTTGTCGTTCTCTTCCTCTTATCACCCGCAATCTAATGGTGCGGCCGAACGTGCTAATCAGTCTGTGGAATTGTATTTGCGCTGCTTCACTAATGCGCACCAGGATGACTGGTCTCGCCTTCTTCCGTGGGCTGAATTTGCCAGGAATACGGTGTCTCATTCGTCTACTGGCTTAAGTCCTTTTGAGGTTGCTTATGGGTTTCGTCCTTCTGTCCTTCCCGGTGCGTTCTCCGACAAGGGAATGCCGCCTTGGACCAGCACCTCGCCTCTTTGCGAAAGACGTGGGATCAGGTCCATGTTGCGTTGTCTCGTTCAGCAGCTGCTCAGAAAAAGTTTGCTGATCGCCGTAGGGTTGCGGCCCCTTCTTATGTTCCGGGTGATAGGGTATGGTTGTCCTCCAGGAACCTCCGTCTCAAGGTTCCCTCGATGAAATTTGCCCCTAGGTTTCTTGGTCCCTTCAAGGTGTTACGTAGGGTTAACCCCGTTTCCTACTCCCTTGATCTGCCTCCTTCCATGCGTGTCCCGAACACGTTTCACGTCTCGCTTTTGAAGCCCTTGCTGTGTAACCGGTTCTCTCGTCCCCTCGGGCGGCCCGTTTCCCCTCACGCTGTCTCTGACGACATATACGAGTAGGCCGCTCTTCTCGACTCTCATGTTTCTAGGGGCCGGCTGCAATATTTGGTGGATTGGAAGGGGTACGGCCCTGAGGAGCGGTCCTGGGTTTCGAGCTCTGATGTGCACGCTCCCTCTTTGGTCCGCTCCTTTCATGCCCGGTTTCCTTTGAAGCCTTCCGCTTCCCGCCCTCTGGGCGGTCTTCGAGGGGGGGTAATGTCGGGATCCCGCGGGCGGCTGCGAGGGGAGGCTGCACTCCGCTTGCGGTACTCACCCTCCAGCCGTCCGAGGTCCCCTGGGTCCGGCGAGCGGCATCCTTCCAGCCTCGGATGCCGCCCGCCGTTTCCTCCACGTCCCCCAGCGGCAGCATACATGACGCTGCATGCTGGGAGACCGCCCAAGTTTGTACACGCCGGGGTCAGTCACCTGACCCGGCGTTAAAGGCACAGTGCCTCAATCACAGTGGGAGGTCTAGATATCTCCCACGTGTGATTGTTAATTCTAATTGGAAATTATCCAATCAGAATTAACCTTATGGTTTAAATACTTACCCTTCCTGTTCCTCCCTGCCCTGTTGTGGTCTTTACTT